CTAGGAAATCTGCTGATGACTGTAGACTATAGTTGCTTGGAGTGTATGGAGTTAGGAGTTCATTGAGTCTTTTTGCCAGGTGATACGTTGGGGTTGGTATTTGGCTGATTATTGGTCGTAGTGGGTTACCTGGTTTGTGTCTTAACATTACCTTAGGTATATCCTAAGCCATAGTCGCCTTGGAGTTAAACTCCAAGGCGTTTATGTATTTCACTAGTCGCCTTGGAGTTAAACTCCAAGGCGATTATGGCTTAGGATATGCCTATGGCAATGTTAAGACACACAAACCAGGTAACCCACTATGCCCAATAATCAGCCAAATACCAACTCCAACCTATCACCTGGCAAAAAGACTTAAGAAACTCCTAACTAGAGCAAAGTAGAATGACGACCCTCCAGAACAGTAGCTGGCAACACGCTCTTTGCCTCGAGCCAGCTGGCAATTGTCACAGGATTTTTCCGATTAATTGATTCTTTTTTTTTACCGGACTTGCACAAGATCGAGTGTTTCTGTTGATATAGGACTATCCGGCTCTCACCGTGGCTGACACAGGCCAGGCCAGCAGGCAGGACTATCAGGCTGTCACCGTAGCTGAGCCAGGCCAGCAGCCAGGACTATCAGGCTGTCACCGTAGCCAATATTGACTTTAGGATCATTATTGTAGCTAAGTTGACGCTTTGAGGTTCGGGGATGAGCACTCGTTTCCCGCCATCAGTCATTGTGTTAGGAAGACAACATTACCATCAACTCACGTCAAAACGTCCTAGAATCTTAACCAACAAAGATAAGAGCGGAGCTGTGACAAGACATTCCTACCACAAGGAAAGCAGCAGGATGTTGTTGTTGTTGTTAAAGATTCGCTACCCGGAACAAAGTTCCAAGCAGCACGGGCTATGGTGAGCCCGTAGCAGCAGGACTCAATGTACACCTACTGGTGATTCTACAGGTGATTTGTCATTTTCCTTCGACACATACAAAGCACCAGGAGGCAGAAGTCACACTGTATCAGGAATATCCAATTGCTTAAGTATTAGGAACAAGTTGAAGGCTGTAATTGGTGTCCCAGAATGCATGATGGTATAGGCAAATTGAAAAGTAACTAAGATATAAGAAACAAGTGAAAGTGATTAAAAATTCTGTGTTGGAAAAATTTATATTCCAAAACAAAAGAATGTAAAAAAACGAAGATGGCCGCCACCACAAGGGAAAACAACACACCAACAGAGGATTGTTTCAAAGGATTCTCACCACAGGATATATTGAAAGGAGGTTTTCTTGGCAAGTTATAGATAATTGACGACATGCTTAAAGAGTATGAATACAAAGTAATTGAATTAGAACAAGAAAATGGAGGTCTCAGAGTGAGCTTCGGAATTTTAATGGAAGTATTCTCCAGGAAGGTAAGAATTTACCAATTTGAATTGACCAATTTAACCAATAAGGTAAAGAGAGAGGAGGAACAAATTAAGGCACTAGTGAAAGAAATTGATATGGAAAGTGAAGAACGGTGAATTTGAAGAAATTATCAGGAATATAGACTCATATGATGAATAACTGAAAGGAACCCTACAGGGTTTTTTCAGGGATACTTTTGTGTGGGCCCGAAGCTTCTGGCTGGCCCATTAAGTGCTACTTGTTTCTTTTTTACTTAGGCGGAGTATGAGTTTTTATGACTCGTATGGTCGCTTCATTAAGATTTTGCCTCATTTGTTTAACAACTTTTGCTCTGTTGAATTTAAGTTGAAATCTTATTGGATTTATAACACTGTTAGATAATGTTCCAATGGTCTGTCGGGAAAACATGGAGTTACGCAAAGAAATGCTAAGAGGAACTTCATTGACAACTCAAATAGAGGAGGTTAATAAAGGTATACAAAGTACAAAGAGGAATTTAAATTTAAAACAAAATGCACACGTTGTAAAAGAGAGAGAAACAATCAAGGAAGTGTGTTTGGAATTGAAAACCAGACATGACCAACCAGAAGCAGAAATTAGACAAGCAATTAGGAAAGAACTGGTAACCAACAGTAAATTAGAATAAAACACTGCAGATAGAAGTAAGTCCATAATAATTTTCGGCCGTTCAGAAAAGGAAATATCATCTAGTGTGGATAGAGCCGCAAAATTGATGAAAATCATTGAGAAAATAGTAGGTTCTGGAGAAAGCCTCAATTCAAAGGAAAATATCAGTGATTTTAGGAGGATAGGAAAATATGAGAGAGACAAGAATCGCCTCTTAAGGGTGATATTTAATGGAGTGAAACAACTGAAGTGCTTAGAAATGCCAGGAAATGGCCAAGTGATGAGGAGGTTATCTTGAGATGATTTCGAGGCTTTTTTTTAGTGTTCCCGCAGCCCGGTCCTCGACCAGGCCTCCACCCCCGGGAAGCAGCCCGTGACAGCTGACTAATACCCAAGTACCTATTTCACTGCTAGGTAACAGGAGCATAGGGTGAAAGAAACTCTGCCCATTGTTTCTCGCCTGCGCCCGGGATCGAACCCGGGACCACAGGATCCTAAGTCCAGCGTGCTGTCCGCTCGGCCGCCCGAGGATGGGAAACCTTGGAAATTAAGACAAAACTTTTCAAAGGAAGAAGGAGAAAAGCTGAAAATGAACCTCGCTGAAGCGAAACGTCTAAATGTGAATAGAAATGAAGAACAAAGAAAATTTCTTTTCAACAGAGTGATACGGATTGGAAAGCCAGTGAAATGGTACATGAAAAGAAAACAACAAAATCATAGGAGGATGGGGGAAATAAAAGACAAAAGCAAAGGGAACATGTTCCTGAAAATTGTATTTACCAACATAGCTCGAGTGAGATAAAAAATACTGGAGCTGAAAGATATTATTCAGCTTAAGGTCCCAGCTATTGTCACATCAACAGAGGTGAAACTTGTTGAAAATATTTTAAATTAAGTCTTATTCCCAAGGGGTTATTCAGTTTGAAGATGTGACAGAAAACTAGTAAGGGTGAAGATGTTGCTGTGCTGGTGAAAGAACACCTGAAGGAAAGAGATAATAATAAATAACCTTCGAGACGTTGACATAATGGCATTGCAGGTTTGGAATCAGGATGATAAACTGATAATCATAAATGCCTACAGCCCACCAGCAAGCAACATATGGACAAAGGAGAGACTTCATAATGATCATGAGATAGATTATAGTAAAAGCAGCTAAAGATCAATCAGAATTGTTAGTACTGGGGAAATTTAACTTGAAAGCTACGAAACAAGAACCACGGACATTTGGATTGGCAGATTTATAAACCTTATTCTGAAGACATTCATGTGTCAACATATCAACCAGGCCACAATAATGATGAAAGGGGATGGTCCATCAATACTGGATTTAATATTAACCAGGAAAGACGAAGAGATATTTGACATCCAGTACCTTGGGAAAGAGTGATCATGTCCTGTTGGAAAGTAAATATACTTTGCGATATAATCTAGAAGTGAATGGGGACATTGAAACAGTTGATAAATTTTATTTCAAGAGAGGACACTATGGGAAACTATGAGTCCCACACAAAGGGGTTGTTTTGGAAACTGGAACATGTTGGAGGAGTGGCAGAGAGACCTCTGACATAAATGAAAAAGTTTCTAACACACAGATGAGGAAGATAATCAGAAAAAATGTATCTGACTGGAGAAGTGCCACTTGCGGAGTACCACAGGGTTCAGTTCTTGCACCAGTAATGTTCATTGTCTACAAAAACGATCTACCAGAAGGAATAAAAATTACATGAACATGATGCTATGAGGATGATGCTAAGATACTGAGGAAGATAGGAGACCAAGACGATTGTAATGCCCTGCAAACTGATCCAGATAAAATAAGTGCTTGGACCAAGTGGAATTTAATGTGAATAAATGGTATGTTATGGAATGTGGACTCGGAGAAAATTGACCACACACAACTCACAAATTATGTGGAAAGGAAATAAAGAGCTCAAATAAAGAACAAGAGATTGGAGTGGTTTTAGATAGTAAGCTGTCACCAGAGGAACACATTAAGAACATTGTGAGAGGAGCGTATGAGTTGCTTTCCAACTTCAGACTTGCTTTTAATTATATAGATGGTGAAATACTAAAGAAACTGCTCATGACTTTTGTGAGACCAAAATTGGAATATGCAGCAGTTTTATGGTGCCCAAATCTCAAGAAGCATATTAGTAAATAGGAAAAGGTGCAAAGGCATGCAACAGTTTAGCTTCCTACACTGAAAACAAGAGTTGCATGGAAAGACTTGCGACTAGAGGTGTTTGGAAGAAAAAAAAACAAAATTAGAAGATAGAAGAAAAAAGATGTGACTTGATCACTACAAATTATTAACAGGAATCGACCAAATGGACAAAGAGGAATTCCTGAAACCAGCAACTTCAGGAACAAGAGGATACTGATTTAAGCTAAGACAGCAAAGATTCTGAAAAAAACTATTGGAAAGTTTATTTTATAAACACATTTGTAGACGGGCGGAACAAACTATAAGTAGGAAGGTGGTGGGGGCAAAACCGTCAGGAGTTTCAAAGCGTTATATGACAAAGAGTACTGGGAAGACGGGACACCACGAGCGAAGCTCTCATCCTGTAAATAAACTTAGGCAATAACCTCCCAGGGATATATATATTCCGCCACGCTCACATGAGTGCCCGAGGCGTCGTGACGTGAGCATTACACATGAATTGTTAAGGCCATAGGCAAGTGAACTGAGAGTATCGGATCACCAGAGAGACACACGCCCATCTTTTAGGTCAGAGTCACTGAAGGAGAAATCCAAATTTACGATTCCAATGCATTATTTGCAGTAAATTGGTTAGTAAATATTTCTACCCATTCTCCTGTTTAGATAGTATTTTGTGTGACCATGTGCACCATAGTACAAATATTACCGTTCTAAGCAGTTGATAGAACTTTGTACTATTCACTTTATAGAGTCGGAAAAAATTAAGCTAAAAAACAAATATAAATATTTCTAGGCCTAATATAGCACGACCTAGTAAACGACCACCTCCCTCTCATGAACCACATAAACGACCACCTCCCTCTCATGAACCACATAAACGACCACCTTCCTCTCATGAACCACATAAACGACCACCTTCCTCGCATGAACCACATAAACGATCACCTCCCTCTCATTAAGTGGTTCATGGGAAGGAGGTGGTCGTTTATATGGTTCATGCGACGTAGGTGGTCGTTTGTATGGTTCATGTGAGGTAGGTGGTCGTTTATGTGGTTCATGAGAGGGAGGTGGTCGTTTATGTGGTTCATGAGAGGAAGGTGGTCGTTTATGTGGTTCATGAGAGGGAGGTGGTCGTTTATGTGGTTCATGAGAGGAAGGTGGTCGTTTATGTGGTTCATGAGAGGGAGGTGGTCGTTTATGTGGTTCATGAGAGGGAGGTGGTCGTTTATGTGGTTCATGAGAGGGAGGTGGTCGTTTATGTGGTTCATGAGAGGGAGGTGGTCGTTTATGTGGTTCATGAGAGGGAGGTGGTCGTTTATGTGGTTCATGAGAGGGAGGTGGTCGTTTATGTGGTTCATGGGAGCGCAGTGGTTGTTTGTGGTTCATTAGAGGGAAGTGGTCGTTAATGTGGTTCATGAGAGGAAGGTGGTCGTTTATGTGGTTCATGAGAGGGAGGTGGTCGTTTATGTGGTTCATGAGAGGGAGGTGGTCGTTTATGTGGTTCATGAGAGGGAGGTGGTCGTTTATGTGGTTCATGAGAGGGAGGTGGTCGTTTATGTGGTTCATGGGAGCGCAGTGGTTGTTTGTGGTTCATTAGAGGGAAGTGGTCGTTAATGTGGTTCATGAGAGGGAGGTGGTCGTTTATGGGGTTCATTCAAGGGAGGTGGTCGTTATGAGGTTCACGCGTGGTAGGTGGTCGTTTATGTGATACTTGAGAGGGAGGTGGATGTTAAGTGGTTCATGCGAGGAAAGTTGTCGTTTATGTGGTTCATGAGAAGGAGGTAGTCGTTTATGTGGTTCATAAGAGGGAGGTGGTCGTTTATGTGGTTCATAAGAGGGCGGTGGTCATTTAACCGCGTAAACCACCACATCCCTCTCATATACCACATAAACGACTACCTCCCTCTCATGTACCACATAAACCACCACATCCCTCTCATGTACCACATAAACCACCACATCCCTCTCATGTACCACATAAAAGACCTCCTCCCTCTCATATACTACATGAACAACGACGTTCCTCTTATATACTATTTAAACGAACACTGTCACTCGTTCACAGTATCTCTCGCATAACTTTTTCCACCTGTCATTAACAGAAGACAGTCACGACACAAGTGACTTTGGTCATCTGGAGTAAGTCCAACACATGAACGTGCATTTTCCTCCCTTCAAATTAAATTACCCTTGAAAACAAAAACTATGGAACTAAGAAATTTAAAAACTGAAATAGTGAACCTTGATCACGTAAAATGGTAAAATAATAAAATCTTGTTTTATTGAATTACAGTTTGAAGTGCTTTAGCAACTGGTGGCAGGAGTCCGCGTCTCGGCTCTTCTAGGTGCTATATATTTCCTCAAGTGCCTAATTTTGCCCAAGTTTGAGGAATAATTGTACTTTGGAACAGTTTTCCTGATTTCATACACAATAGCAGCAACGCCTCGTTCTGTTATTGCGAATCAATGGTAGGCGGCTCAGGTTAATATTTCCCTTCAATTGGTGTCCGATGGGCACGTAACCGAACGAATCATTAGGTTTCTGTTTTTTTATTATGTTGTCGAGGTCGTGTTAATATGTTGATGAACACGTTGAATACTTTACATTGTTAGAGCAGTGTTACCATGGGGACGCCCATGGTAATGATGCAGCACTGTGGGACACCAGCTGGTCCTGCTCACACAACACCATCTCTCCCACACAATCATCATGTTTATCCTTCAAACGTAAAGTTAATTATTTAGCAATTGATGTGAAGATCACTATGGCAACTGTGGATGTCCAGTACTTATGATAAGTATTTCATCACGTCATGGAGGCCTCGTCGAGGACCGGGCCGCGGGGACGGTGATCCCCGAAATAATCGCAAGGTAACCTTGCTCAGCACTGCTCCTCCCGTCTCTCCTGTAGAGCTTACATGGGCAAAAAACAGGAATATTAATTATATGATCATAAGAATATAGGAAACAGCAGGAGGAGTACTAACCGATACGAGGCTGTTCCTTCTTATTCCCAGCCAAGCTCATATATATGTTTACCGTATGCTTGAAACATCACACGACTCCTCTGTTATTATGTTACCACATCGGATACCCGGCACAGTAGTGGAATTTATTCTATATCGCTGCAGTTTTGTTTTTGAGCTGCAGCGATATGGCATAAGTGTTTTTAGTTACATTGACGACTGCAGTGATATGGCATAGGGGTTTTTCGTTACCCCGGTGATGTTTAGTCCCCTGCCGGGCCTAGTCCAGGAAGTGTTTTAGTTTTTTTTCTTCTCATTTCTTAACTGCTTCCTTCCATCATTTATAATTTTGTACAATGGGAATATAAAGGTTCCCCTCTTCGTCCCTAGCATTTCGCTCAAGGGGATTAAACTGTAGGCTTCCGTCATACTCAAATTTCATCACTTCAGTGCCCCTGCACAGACATCGCTAATGGTCAATGACGTCAGTCAATCTTCATATTTCCTGTGTAAGTCCGTTTTATTAAATGGTATATTATCAATATTTATGTCAAGTGGTATTAAACTGTAGGCTCCCGTCATACTCAAATTTCGTTACCCCAGTGACCCTGCACAGACATTGCTAATTGCCAATGACGTCATTCAATCTTCATCATTCCTGCATGAGTACGTTTTCTGTCATAGTTTATTTATTCCCATTTTCAATATTTATGTTTAGGAGGGATTAAAAGGCAGCCTTCTGCCGAGTCCAATGTACAATGTCATCATCCATAATCTTCCCATAATAAGGTAGTTTTCCTTAATGAAGTATTTCCATACTGTTTCCCAAGTTCGAAGATCATTTTCTTGCTAAGATTGCATATTGAGCATAAGAAATGAGTTCAACCCTGTTACCGAACCAGTATTTACCCCAGGTCTTTTTCCTAACTCTAAAACTTATCCAATTTATACACATTGTTTCGTGTTCTGTCTCGTGTTGAAACTCTTAATAGCCTATTAATATCCCCCTTTGTCACATCCATTCACCCACTCACACACCTCTATCATCTCACTCCCTAATTCTTCGCCTTTCATGAGAAAGTAATTCAAGCTTTGTCAATCTTTCTTCAAGGATCATTTATCGGGCATAGGAAATAAAATGAAAATCCACTATCTCCCATTCATATGAAACAAAGGGGAGCAACACAGAGCATGAACTAACATGTATCTTAGCATTAGCCTCTGTTACCGAACCAGTATTTACCCAGGACTTTTTCCTAAATTTAAAACGTACCCAATTTATACCTATTGTTTTGTTTTCACTGTATCATATACCTAAACAAAATTCTCATTCAGTGTACATATAAATGAACTTTTTAGTCCCCGTGGTGAAGTGGTAAGACACTCGCCTGGCGTTCCACGAGCGCTTTGTCATGGGTTCGTATCCTGGCCGGGGAGAATTTATTGGACGCAAATCCTTAACTGTAGCCACTGTTTAACGCAACAGTAAAATGTGTACTTGGTTGTAACAACGATTCTTCGCGGCGGTGATCGTATTCCAGGGACCTGCCCGGAACGCTACGTGTACTAGTGGCTGTACAAGAATGTAGCAACTCTTGTATATATCTCAAAAAAAAAAAATACATTGAGGAAACGCTGCTTCGCATGTTTAAAATTGGCCTTCTGCAGTTACCTTCATTCTGATGTTCTCATGACGTCATCATCCCCAGTGCTGTTTGATCCACCAATAGGCTACATCGCTTTAGCCAACGTCACACTAGCGGTTCGAAGGAAGGTACTCTCCTCTCATTAGTACTTACTCTTAATCACTCTCAATAGCTTAACTTTACTCTGTAAGTGTCATCACAGGCTATGCTATAATGTCTTGTAACTACTCATATCTGGCTCATTGTATCATTGCTCATATTTTTCTCTTATTCAATTCATCAGCCCTACCAAACCAACCTAAGTTAGCCTTTAATAAGCAAATACATTCTATAGCAATAAGACCCGTTGCTTTAGCAAAGCATGAGGTCAAAAAAGCTGCCCCAGCATAGGAATAAAATATGGCCACCCATTAACAGATTGGTGTCATGGCACCCACAGCAACCTGACTATTCAACTACGAGGGATGTCACAAATATGCACAATGAGGCCTTGGCATGATATTTATCTAAGTAGTGTATTTAATGTTATTATTCATAAATGGCTAGACTATCCATCCCCACATAACCTAGCTGCATCAGAGGTGTAATAATATGCATGTTACTCATCTACAACTGTAATCATTCATTACGCAGTGTTAAGTTCAAAACTAAAATAGATGCCCAAATGTCGCACCACGATTTGAGCAGAATCGTACGTCTGGCAGGACAGCAGGTCAGTTGTCCTAATACCTATGTTCATAGGTTAGTCAGCTGTCCTCACAGCCAACAAATAGCTGCCCAGATGTCTCGTTGCAATTCATCCATCTAGCAACTCAGCTGAATCCTAGACAGTATATTCATAGGTTAGTTATTCCTAAACCTCGAAAATCCTAATCTTGCTACACAAATCAGCTGAATTGTTTCTAAACCAACAGTTACAAATACATACATACATACATAAATACATACATACATACATACATACATACATACATACATACATACATACATACATACATACATACATACATACATACATATAGACACATACTCCACAACCTATACATGCACAGAGAATAGCCTGTTTTTGCCACCATTGCACCATTAATCAGATGTAATTTATGCCATATGAAACCCTAAAATGTATTAGAATAAGATTTCAGTAATCCCACAGCTCATTCACATCAAGTAATCTTAATTATCTGTAATGTTAATTCATATTAATGCATACCAATCAGCAAGGTATTCATATTATTCCAGCAAGTTAAAAATATTATTAAATATTCATCTACATACTATTCAAATGGATATACCAGGGAGTATATGACCCATTGAAATAAATACATTAGTAATTATTCATAAAAAGCTAAGGTTGTGTTAAGGCGCTCAAAAATATATTAATTTAACATCATACACACAAAATGCAACACTTGTACTTTCACTAAAAATACATAAATTCAAAAACAGGCAGTATAAAACACACACACATACACATTTACACTCAATATAGCATTTAAGCACAAAGCAATTCCAAACAATATTCCATTTACACAGAAAATACATTTACATACCAGATATGACATTTATGCACAAAATATATTATTTGCACTCAAAATATTTCATTTACCCACAAAATATGCCATTCATACACAAAATATGTTATTTGTAAATAAACTATGACATTTACATACAAAATACATCAGTTGCGCACAAAATATACCATTTACACAAATATTGCATATACATTCAAAGTACAACATTTACACAAAGTATTGTATTTGCATATATATAATAAATTGCATATATATCCTCATACAAATCAAAAAGCGCTTTCACTAAAATTACACAATTCCATAAACATAATTTTCACAAAAATACCCACACATTTTCTCATAAACTCTTTCAACTCAAGATCTATTTTTCAGATAACATATAGAGAACTTACACAAATACACAATTCGCACAAAAAAATACA